TTGTCTCATTTAGGAAGCTTTAAATTAGAAGGCATGAAATTGGCTCATGATGAAGACAAACAATAGGAACGACAGCCACACAAAAATTTGGACAAGATTCAAGAAGACAACGTAAATTCAGGAAGAGAATCATCGTTGGAATCGTCTCTACACTTGTTATTGTTGCTGCCATTATTGGAGGTGCTTTTGCTTATGTTACTGAATCATATTTGCCTATTGATAATCAACCGCCTCGCACTCGGATTTAGCTAAATCCTTTGCTTCAAGATTTCTAACCTCGCTTCAAGCTGTGAGATACCAACAGGTACAAGAAACATCATAAGGTGGGAAAAAATTTATCATATAAGACTGTCCAGAGAGATAAGCAAGAGTGGTTTTAGTTACCTTAGCACGGCTTTCAAGTCCAAAAGTGTTATTTTGGCCATCACCAAAAGCATCACACTTAATGGCAAGAGCGATTTTAGCAGCTAAAGACCGCGACATCTTTCCCTTGTGCTTTGGCGATGCTTGACTAACCAAAGATGCGTGGTAAATAATACCATGCTTGGGTGTAGCATGCTTAGTCTTGAGTGCTCTAGAGAGAGCTTTTTCGGCTCCGAGAATCTGAACAGTACCCCATGTAGCTTTGCAAGGTTCAATAAACTACCTGCGCGAGAAATTAAACGAGCACCAACTATCTCACCAGCTAAGGCAGTCAGATTAGGAGCAACATTGTTCATTCTGAATTTCAGGTTATCATAAATCTGAGCTCTGTCCTCAGCAAACGAAAGAACCTTGTCACAGAGTTCCCGGATATGCACTAATTCAAGGTCACTGGATTCTACTCCCTTAGATATCAAAGCCGCTACCTTCAATTCCGCCTCAACTTCATCCGCTAATATCTGCATTCCAACCAATAACGAGTATATATCATCACTAATATACTCTTTGCGCACTTTGTAATATCAAATTTTTACCTCCGAGAAGTCTAGTTTTGAAGCATTAATCCGGTTTCGCATGAATTTAACGGTTTTGGCATATAGGATATTGTCTTTTATGATCTTATCAAGCTCTCTAACGCTCTTGGCGTATCTTCTCAGTTTTTTTGTCACGCAAACCAATAGTTTGAATTATCATCGTATCCACCTAACAATGAAAACCAAACAAACCATTAGGAAAAGTAAACGCATCGTATATCCACCTAACCAGACACTCAAGAAAGACCGAATATACTTACGAAACGTATGGCTACATTATCGAAATAACTCTCCAATAAATTCGAAAGTGAACAAAATCCGTGGACTTAGTCAGATCAGTGAAATCTTGACGTACCAGTAAGGTTGAACAGAGTTTCGATGCGCAGCGAAACTTAGCTATAGATTAACTGAGATTAGGTCTGAGTATTTCTTTACCGATTTCGGAGATTTTGTGAGCGAGAGAAGCTCCGAGAAATCTTGCTCCAGGTTTTGCATGGCGTATGTTTGAAAGTTAAGCTTCCCGGTGCCGTTCTCAAGCTCAAGTTCAAGGTTTCAGATCGGAATGGGTTGGTTGACGTTTTGCTTGACGAGGCATGGTGGCGGCTCGATCTTAGATCTGTTCTTCTTGTTCTCTAGGTC